TCTCCCTTTTAATTGAGTGTTATCTTATTTTGATTTCCACCTATCACAGCAAGCCTGTTTGCCTTCTCTCTCTTCCTCCTCGTTTCATCCCTGGTGACTTTTTTTCTTCTCAACCTGTGGAGATAATGATTTCAGAGGAGAGAATATTGATATCTTAAAGATATGACTTAAGAGGAGAGAATATAGATATCTTAAAGATATCAAAACTAAGATGAAGCAAGTAAATTATAGTTACATAAAGTGTATTTGTATAATATTTTATAAAGAACAATTATATTTAATCTTTCCAGCATCCTTGTGACACAGAAGCATTAACCACTTTTGAGCAATGAGGACATGAAAGATCAGAGAGTTTAAATTACTCATGGAAAGTCAGACAGCAGAATAGCCAATACTAGAAAATAGTATCCACTCTAACCTTTGTTAAAGAAGACTTCTTAAATGGTAGAACTCATTCAAAAATTTTGACTGAGACAGACTAATGGAATAGAATAAAGAGTCTAGAAATAAACCTACACATATATAGTCAACTGATTCATGACACAGGTAATGTTGAAGTGCAATGGGGAAAAAGTGGACTTTTTAATCAATTGTATGGCTGTATGGAAGAAAAATGAATTTGAATCCCTACCTTATGCCATACACAAAAAATTAATTTGAGATCAATAAGGACCTAAATATGAAAGGTAAAATAATAAAGCTTTTAGACGGAAACAGATTATCTTCATGACCTTATCTATCAAACATTTCTTAAGTAGGCAAAGATTTCTAAAACAGGACAAAATAAAAATCAAATCTTAAAGAAAAAGTTGACAAATCGGTCTTCATTAAAATGAACCCATCAAGAGAAGAAAGTGAAAAAGCAGGCCACCAAATTGGAGAAGATATTTGCAACACATCTACAAATAAAGGACTCTATCCAGAATATATTAAAAAGTCCTACAAATCCGTACAAATAAAGTCAGTCAACCCAATAAAAAATCAGCAAAAGGCTTGAACAGGCACTTCACAAAAGAGGTATCCAAATGACCAGTAGTCATATAAAACTTCATTAGTCATCAGGAAAATGCATAATAAAACCATGAGACCACTGCACATCCACAAGAATGACTAAATTTTAAAACTGACAATACCAAATGTTGACACAACTGTAGAGCAACTAGTGGGAGTGTAAATTGGTATAAACACTGTGAAACACTATTTGGCAGTATATTCTAAAGCTTGACACAGCAGATAAGATGTAAGAAAGTGTATTCACAGCAGTACTCTTCAATATAGCCCCAAACTGGAAACAATCAAAGTGTCCATCAAGAGTAGGATAGATAAATTAAATTGTAATATATTCACTGTATTCAGCAGTGCTTTCTTAACCTAACTGTGGTGAAGGACCAGATTTTTTTGCCCTAGCTATCAGAATAAAACTCTTGTATAATACAATATTACACACAACCTCAAACTGGAAAAGTCTCTAAATGCTCACGCACACTTTTTGCACAGGTGGAGCTGTAGATCAGTGGCAAATGGTATGGACCAACCCTGGTCCACAGACTGCACCTTGAATAGCACTGCTCTCAAGTGATGAAAAAGAACATCTCAAGTGATGAAAATGTATAGACTAGCTACACATAACAACCTGGATGAATCTCAACCAGACACAGAAGAGCCTATATTTTATGATTTCATTCAAGCAAAGTTCAATGACAACAAAAATCACTAACCTGTGATGTTCGAAACTAGAATTACCCTTGAGGAGCAGGGGATTGTCATTCGAAGAGGCCGTGAGGGGAATTCTGGAGTTCTTGATCTTGACATTGGATCATTTTTGTGCTGGTTATATGAATGTGCTCATTTGTGAAAATTTATCTAGCTGCCCACTGATGACAGGGTCTCTTTTTTATTTTACTTATAATTTACATTAAAAATTATTGAACACGAGGGCACCTGGCTGGCTGTCAGTTGAGCGTCGGGCTCTTGGTTTCGGTCTGGTCATGACTCAGGACTGTGGGACTGAGCCCCACATGGGCTCCACACGGGTGTGGAACCTACTTGGGATTCTCTTTCTCCCTTTCCCTCTACCTCTCTCTCTCTCTCCTCTCTTTCTCTCCCTCTCTAAATTAAACAAATAAATAAATAATTATTGAACACCTGTTAAACACATGCACTCTAAACTTCTAAAGGTACTAGATTAGTGGAGAAGGCAATGGAAATGCAAGTATACACACAAATGTGGCATTACAAATTATGATTTTATGAAAGGAATCATAACAAGATATAGTGATAGAAAATAATGAAGGAAGAAACCTACTTAGATTAGGTGGACAAGGAAGGGGCTTCTCTGATGAAATATTTTAGCTGAGGCCTGGGAAAGGAAAAGGAATTGGTGATGCCAAGAGTGGAGGAAACAATCCACAGATTTCAACAGTTGTTTTGGGTAGAGGAATAAAGATAATTTAATGGATTTATGGTAAAAGAGGGCATTGCAGACATAGGTATGACTTGGGAATTGGTGTTATAAAATTTGGGACAGGAAGAAATGGGAGGAAAAAAAGTAGGATTTTGGCTTACAGTTGCAAGTAAAAAGACCAGAATGGATAGTTTTGCAAGAAGCTTGTCAACATCAGCACAAGAAAAGAATAATTGTGGTATCTAGAATAAAGGAAAATCTAGTTTTTGTTTTTGTTTTGAGAGAGAGCGTGCATGAGCAAGTGTGTGTGGTGGAAAGGGGCAGAGAGAGGGGGAGAGAGAGAATCCCAAACAGACTCCTCTCTCAGCACAGAACCCGATTGCAGGGCTCGGTCTCACGACCCTGAGATCATGACTTGAGCCAAAATCAAGAGTCATACACTTAACTGACTGACCCACCCAGGCACCTCAGGAAAATCTAGTTTAAAAGGAAGTGCATTCCCACTTAATTTTCAGACCCAAGCAAAATCTGATCTTATTAAGAGTTAAGAAATGGAAGGAGTACCTGGGTGGCACAGGCAGTTGGGCGTTGGACTCTTGGTTTTGACTAGGGTTGTGATCTTGGGGTCATGGGATTGGGCCCTACTTCAGGTTCTGGCTGGGTGCGGAGTCTGGGTTTCTCTCTCCCTCTCCTTCTGCCCCTCCCCATTGCTCATACTTGCTCACTCTCTTTCTAAAATAAATGGATAAATCTTTAAAAAAATAAATAAAAGGAGTTAAATGGAAGAATTTCACATGCGTTTCAGTGTGCTTCATGTAGTTTGGGGTAAGTAAAAGTGTATTTACATATTAGAGAATTTTGTTTCAGGCATTTGAAAATGGATGGCGAACGGGACAGTGTCTATATCAACCCTACCAGTCTTCGTGTCTCTGACATTCCACTGATTCTCTTCCCCTTTTCTCTCTTCCTTCCCCAACACACGATTATTTCATTATCACTCATTTCAGCTCTATCTTCTGTTTCCTTTCTCCCTCATCATTCCCCCTCACCTTCAAATGTTCCATTGCAAGTGCTGAGCACTTCCTTATATATCATCCTCTTTAATTCTTTTATAACCCTAACAGTCACGTGTGTGGAGATGCATGTGGGGAAACTTTGGCTCAGAGAAGCTATATGACTTGTCTAGGGTTACGACTTAGACTCCAGACTCCAAGTGCAGAGCTTTTTCCATTATGCCATACTGAGGCCTTCATCTCTTCCAAATAAACATATAATAGTTTTATGCTTAAAATACTGTCCTCTGCATTATGAGTAATGAAATTGTGCTCTATTGTTTGTTAGATTTTATAAGACACATCGTCTCACATCTTATATATGAATATAAGAACATATATCAATATATGTATAATATGTGAGTATATTTCACTGTACACAGACTTGAGATAAATACATACTAAAGTTTTTTAATTTTTTTTTTTTTAAGGATTTTATTTATTTATTTGACAAAGGGAGACCCAGCGAGAGCAGGAACACAAGCAGGGGGAGTGGGAGAGGGAGAAGCAGGGAGCCCGATGTAGCGCTCGATCCCAGGACCCTGGGATCATGACCTGAGCCGAAGGCAGACTGAGCCACCCAGGCGCCCCAAGTTTTTTAATTTTTTATAAAGTTTTTTAAATTTTTAAATAGTTTTTGAAGTAATTGGTGACTTCCTGAAGTGTAGCATGCGCAGGATCTCTATTATAATTATCACTCATTTTATCTGTCTTCTTAATTACTAAAAATCTGGAAGAAGAGAGAGATGACCTTGATGCAGGTGATTAAAGAAATTATAGTGCCCCAAGAGCTCACTAAAAAAGAGGAGGTAAACTAAGTGATTATTCATAACTTAGCTTATTTCCTACTGCTTGCCTTTTTCCCTCTGACTCTCTGTGTGTCTTTAATACCAGTGAGTGAGTAAACATTGGAGAAAATAGGAGATTAAACTCAGATCACTTGTTTTTCATCACTTGCCAGTAATTCTGGGGGAATTAGCAAGATTTGGGGGAGCTAGGAGATTAAGAAGACTCATGAAAATGAAGTTGATTATATATTTTAATTTATTGCTTTTGAAATTTAAGAAATGAGGCATTAAGGATGTATAACCCACTCCTAAAATATCTGATAGCATTACATCTATTTGAACTTTTATAGCAATTAGTAGACTGGAACAGTATACTATCAAAAGAATCTAGGCTTTCTGGAAATGGCAAAGCATTAGGTGAATTGAATCTTAAGGTAAAACAGAGTGGGAAATGCATGGATGTTGATCATGCATCTCTTTGCCTGACATGCCCTGAGGGAGTGGCTAGATCAGCACCTTCTGGTTTCAGCCATTTCTGGAGGTGGTTGTAGCTCTTCATATGAGACAGTAACCATTCACTTAGTATTGAGAACTTTTTCTAAATATCCTGACTTCTATCACGTATGGTATAAGAATGACTGTTTAGGGGGGACAGGTGGGTCATAAGATGACTCCCAGGATGTAGTGATACACCAAACTCCTTTATTAAGGCATTCAACCCCCAATTTTTCCTCTTGTCTTTTTTATTTGCTGTAGAGTGATTCTCATCAGTTCCGTGTCATGGCAGCTGTCCTTCGCCATTGTTTACTAATCGTAGGTCCAACTGAAGACAAAACAGAAGAGCTGCACAGGTAGGTAACCTCTGTGTTGGTAGCTTAACAAAGGACATCGTCGATTCCTGTTGTTTTTATGCACCTAATTTTAGTTGTTATAAGCACAATAAAGTGAAACTATTACAGTGAATCAGGTAACTGGTGAGAAATCATTACTGATGAGAAATTTTCATTCTATCCCCTTTGACTTTGTTAAATTGAGTCCCAACAAAAGAAGGGAATTTGGCATTTGTTGCATTCAGCAATAAAACCCAGACTAACAATAATAATAGCACAATTCAGCAGTTACTGAGTACTATGTGTGACATGATTCTAAATGCTTTATAAAGATTAACTTACTTTAATCAGCACACTCACCTTATGAGGTGTAGGTACTGCTATTTTTCCCTTATGATAGGTGATGAAAGTGGGGCATAGAAAAATGAAGCAATTTCTTTGAGATCACACAGCCTAGTAAGTGACAGGGCTTGGATTTGAACCCTGCTTTTCATTACTACGCTCAAACTAATAGTCTCACTGATTTCACTGTAGGAGTATTTACCAAAAAGTATACTGTAAGCAATATGTATTAATTAAATTTTTAAAACTTACTATAAAAATTGGTTCACAGTCTCAAGTATTAATATTTAAAAAATAGTTCAAGTGTTGTGCCTTGCCTTTTGGAACTCTTGATGGACTACTGCTAAAAATGTGTCATTCTGTGAGAACTGAGTTCATGCATTTTTCTAGTTCTCTGTCTATATTCTAGATCAGGCTTGCAATTACAACACTTCTGACTTTAACATAAAACTGCTTATGGTGCTTTACTCTTTTAAAATACAAGTGGTATTTTCTTTTAAAGATTTTATTTATTTATTTGAGAGAGACAGCGAGCATGAGCAGGTGGAGGGGCAGTGGGAGAGGGAGAAGCAGACTCCCCACTGAGCAGGGAGCCTAACTCACTGGGCTCAATCCCAGGGTCCTGGGATCATGACCCATGAGCCAATAGGGGATGCTTAACTGAGTGAGCCACCCAGGCACCCCAAATACAAATGGCATTTTAAACAATTCAAATAATTCAAATCTGCAAACAATTAACTTTGGCGTTAACTCTGCTTTACAAATAAAATTGGATTCTTCTTAATAGTAGAAAGCACCTTTTGAGCATTTACAATATTCTGGTTTTCAAAATATGGCTTAAATAAAACTTCATAGAAACACAACCAGAGTGTAAAAATGAAATATAACCTTAATTGTTATTTTTCAATCAAATCCTTATTATTTTAGTTATGATCAGCAATTTATTATTTGATATTACACAGAGTTTGTTGATAGGTTATCTTTATGTACTCTGCCCTGCAAACATTAAAAAGATTATTTTCTTCACAATTAAAAAGTGTGATTTTTTTCATCTATAGATCAAAATTTCCTTTAATTTTCTTGAGACTGTGCCTTTAAAAAATAATCAGATTAAGTGCAATAAATCATAGCCTCTAAAAAGACTTAAACATTTTGACTCACTATAATTTTTTTTTACAAATACAGATGCTAAAGCTTTTAAAAAAAATGGATTTATAATAAGCCCAGCAGTAAATTGATGGCTTTTTTTTTGGAAATCAGATACCATAAGTTAAATCGCATTCATACAGGAATGTGAGGAGAAAGTGTTTTGGGAATTGTTAACACTAGTTACAAAAAACATTGCTAAGGATTTCTCTGATAAATTTAATATTTTAACACAGCACCCAGTATTTATCAAAAAAGAATAAGAAGAGAGGTTTTAAAAAACAGATTTTTTAAAAAGTAATCAGATTTCTTTGTTTTCCTTCTGATAATATTTGCTTTAAAATATTCTTAAATAAATTTTAAAGATATTTTTCTTTAAATTTGCTTTTATCTTAAAAATTGCTCTGATAAAATATCTATTAGCTACACTGTAAATAAGAAGGGATATCCCTAGAGCCACAAACAGGATATAGAAGTATATCTCGAAGGCTTTCCTAGGAGATTGAGGTTGCTGCTGACTTGACAGTTTATCTGGAATGGCCCTGCATGTCCCTTTAATCAGAATTAAAGTGATTAGTACTGTTTGAGTAGTGACTCTAGGCTAAGCCATTTAAATACAGAGAAAACTGCATTAACCTCAAAGGGCTATATTAGGAAACTTACTAGGATTGTAATACCCACTAAATTCTGCATATTTATAGTGGCCCTGAAAATCATGTGTGTTTAAGGCAAAGTTAAAAAAAATCAGAATGTTTTCAAAGTAGCATTTTGTTCCATTTTTTTGAAAGTTATTTTCTGAGTTTGTTTTTTTCTTTTTGACACTTTAAGGAAAAATGTAATGAAATAGGCAAACCTGGATAGTATATGATTATGCCTTGTCATTAAACTCAAAGAGCTGTAGTAGTGAGTAAATGAGAAATCAACAAAGCACTCTGTCCCTGGCACTGAGGAAGCACTCGCCAAGTGCGTGAGCTGCTGTCGCCTCTGCCATCACGTTGCTGCCACCGCCACTTCTGTTACTATTACAATAAGCACACTGGCTTTTAGATCCAATACGGAGTTCCAGATCTCTTTTTAAAAGTTGTGTTTGATTTTGATATTTTGTTAGGAACTTATTTCTAAGTATATCCTGTGATCATGTAGAGAAGTCTGTTTTCCATTCATCTAAGTTTTTCTCAAGCCACATATGTTCTATGATACATGCATGGCAGGAGTCGACTAGGCTCCTGTGAGTGAGTAGAAACATGGCTTGGCAGCAGCTTTTTCCGATGTGCTGTCTCTGTGCAACAGTGTCCTTTTTTTCCCCACCCCCAGAGCAATCAAGAAAGAGGACACGACATAGAGATAAAATGAGTTAGCTCGCATAGACGGCTGACCTTAACCTTTATTTCCTCTAATCCGCATCTTAGATAGTTTTTAAAATCTACTTATTTCATTTCCTTTTGTCTATAATTAAAGTAACAAGTAAATTGTTGGTTTGAGCCATCTTTTTTGATACATTAAAGGACGTCCTAATTCTGTTCATCTCTGCTGTCTTCCTGAAAGTATTTTCAGCCCTCTTGTCCATAATCAGTAAGTTTATGCATAAACAGCCAAAAACAGTTACATGTAGATGTGGTTGTGGTTTTGTTTTATTTTAGAGAGAAGGGGGGAAATGGAAATGGAAATGGCCTAAACGCTAGAGAGGTAAGGAGAGGAGAGGGAAGGACCAGATCTGATTTAATTTATTTTAGCCTCTCAATCTTTCTTTCACTTAGCATATTGGCATCTACAAAATGCTTTCTTTTTTTTTTCTGCACTCAAAGAGCCCATGTGTCTTTAAAAAGTACTTAGCTCCCAGCCTTTTTTGTTGTTTCTTTGCTTAAACTAATTTATTTTATCTCGTATACTGAAGGAGACAATTTAGTACCTAATGATACCTCATTACAATCCTAGGCAATGTCTTTTTTTCCAGCTTTATTGAGATACAGTGGACGTATAACGCTGTTTCAGTTTAAGGTATACAATGGCATTGATTTGATAGATTTACATATTACAAAATGATTACCACCACAGCATCAGCTAGGCACAATGTCTTACACATGGCCAACTTTTAATTAATGTTTGAAAATTGAGGGGAGCGAAGACTGGGGGAATGGGTAAAACAGGTGAAGGGGATTAAGAGGTACAAACTTGCAGTTATAAAATAAATAAGTCACAGGGATGAAAAGTACAGCATAGGGAATAAAGTCAATAATATTGTAATAATGTTGTTTAGTGACAGGTGGTAACTACACTTAAGGTGGTGAACATTGAGTTTGAGTAATGTATAGAATTGTCGAATCACTATGTTGTACACCTGAAATTAATAAAACATTGTATGTGAACTATACTTCAATAAAAAAAATTTTTTTTGTAGAAGTTTGAAAATTGGATGATTTCATTTTGGCTTCTACTTACTAACTGAGCACTTACTCTATGTTAGGCACTATGTGGAGCTCAAGAACAACAAAGATGAATACAGTATAATCTGTGTTCTCCAGGGCTCACCAGCTAGGGGGTAAAACAGACATGTAAGTAAATAAGTGCAGTTATGTTGATGAGGGTTGTGTAGGACACAGACAAGCTTATGTAGGTATATAGAAAACAAGAGAGTTTACTTTGGAGAGATCGGAGAAGGGGGGTCTTATTTTATTTTTTTGTTATCATTAAAGCTCCTAGCTCTTTTTTTTTTTTTTTTTAACTTTATTATGTTATGTTAGTCACCATACAGTACATCATTAGTTTTTGATGTGGTGATCCACGATCCATTGTTTTCGTATAACACCCAGTGCTCCATACAGTACGTGCCCTACTTAATACTCATCACCGGGCTAACCAATCCCCCCTCCCCCCTCCCCTCTAAAACCCTGTTTGTTTCTCAGAGTCCATAGTCTCTCATGGTTCATCTCTCC